GGTATTTTAGAGGACTTTGTTCGCTCGAGGGCGTCGATTGTGCGACGGCTGGGACGAAGTTTCTTGCTCGGGGCTTCGTAGGGTGGGACTGTGCGAAGTTCCTGTCTTTGAGAAGCATTTTCGGCGTGTAGTAGAGAGTTGACGTGCTGCTTTTCTTGTGACCTAAAGTATGCCTCCATGTCCTTGGCATTATTGTCGTGGCGATGTGCGTCCTCAGTGGCTGCTACTCGGCTGAACCCCAGAGGAATGAGGGGATGGTCACTTCGGCTATCAGAAGATCTAAGAGTGGGCGAGTAAGGGAAGGCCCAATCGTGAACCTGGAACTGGCGGTTTGCGCGGCGCGGCTCCAGCCTACTCCCTTTCTCGTTAAACACACCTTGAGCATCTCTATCACCGACCGATCGCTGGCCACATACCATAGGCATCTGAATTCCTATAGATGATGGTGGGTACTTGTCAACCGACCTGCTTAGATTGATATTCGTTCCACGGTCATCGTCAGGCATTGGATCAACTCTAACGTGTTTTGAACAGGGCTGTGATTCCGCAGAGGGAGCTCGGGAAAACACAACTTCTGGAGCGTGTCGCGGGCTCATTGGCGGTTCTTGCTGTGCATCACAGCCGAAGAAGTCACGGATATCGCTATTGTTGTTCGAATTAAGTTGATTTTGGATCGTACTCTCAACTGAATTTAGGATAGATTTGTGTGATGCCGACGAATTGGTGGCAGAAGGTCGTAGCCCTTGGTTAAATGTCCCATGCTGATTATGAGCTGGTTGGACAGCTTGTGTACCAGGTAAAGACTTTCTCAGCACGGTGTCATGCGATCCTCGAGTTAGTGGTGCAAATGGCTTGTTTGCATAGGTCTGTTGAGCGCGACGCCTGCGAGGAGCTGAAGATCCCGGAGGAGTCATATTGTGCGGACTAGTAGCTGGCTGACTGAAGCTTCGTACCTTTAAGTCTTTTGGATGAATCTCACGTTGCGTGAAGTGATTCGACATGCCAGTGTGGAAAGGAGAGATATTGAACTCGTAACGACGCTCTTTACCTATCACTCTCTCTTGTGCGATGTTGTCCAAGGTATTGATTTCTGAACTCGCCTGCGATACGTGCTGGATACTAGGCTCTAGTTCTGCGTCTAGTGGAGATTTTACTACATTCGTCTTTGACAATGTTTGAGGGGTCAAAGGCAACGCCGAGCGAGGCCGATTAGGAGTGACAATAGGACTGGAAGAACCAGAATGCGAGTTGACATATTCTTGGCTTTTAACTGGACTTAACAGTTGTTCATGACTGGAGGACTGCTTGGGCTTAACTCTGGCATTCATTCGAGCGATAGTCCACGGATTAGAAATCTCAGCCGCACGAATTCCTTCCTCTTCTTCAATTACCGGTGTATGGTTTTCTTGCAGAAACTGTAGATCATCTTCGTCGATCCCATACATGCTTGACCTCCAACGTGGCTGCACTTGCGTCGTAGTGGCCGGAGGTTCCTCGATCGCGCTAGTAGACGTGTGTTCATGAGCTACGATCGAGCTTTCGGTGGAACTTGATGTTCGTTGCCTGGACTGATTTTCATACTGTTGTTGTGCAGATGTTGGGGGTTCAGCATCCCGAGCCTCCTGAGATGCCTCAGGATAATAGGCTTTGAGCAATTTGTCCACAACGCCAATAACCACATTGCTGTTATCGAACATGACATCGTCTTTAGCGGGCTCGATGTTGGGATCGTAGCTGTCAGGCGGACAAATGATATTCAAGCAGAAGAATGGATCTTTGATACCGACGAGTGAAGGGTTTGACTTGCGGAGTCGGTCTTTGTAAGCTGCAACGATCTGCTTCATGGTACCGCGACTGCTCGATACAGGTCTTGCGTCGATCGAGATGAAGGCCCCTTGATGAGCGATCTTTGGTCCAGTCGCACCTGGCTTGGGTAAGAAAGCGTGAACTTCGAAGCCATCTGCTTCCAAAACAGCCCAGTCGCACTGTAGAGCGCAATCCTTACCAATCACTTTCAGAGTTGCGTCTTCAACATTCGCATCGGCCTTCGGGGCATAAACGAGTCCACCGCTGTTGTTCCTCGCTTTCAACACGCGGAGTCTGAATCGTGTGGTTGGTCTGGAGAGCGCATAGGCCTGCATGAGTCGCCGGATCTTCGCTAGTAAGTTCGCTGAATTCTTGCTCGCTGTTTGCTTCCGAACAGGTATGAAGTCGAGGAACCTGGTAACTTTGACCGTCGTGCCAATAGGGTGAGAGTCATGTTCCACACTGTATGGTTTAGTACTGATAGTTTCTTGCGCAAGCACCAATGGGCATCTTACGAAGCAAGCTCACCGTCACGACCGTATTTGAGCTTCACAGCGACCGGCTCACCCTCTACCCGAGTGGTGATGCACAGCGAGCTGCTCATCTCAGCCATGCTTGAGAGTGCCTCGCCACGAAAGCCCAGCCATTTACCTCCGACGCCTTTCAGATCGCGAAAGTCTCTAATCTTGCTGGTACAGGAGCGCCGGCATGCAAGAGGGCGGTCTTGAGCTGGTATGCCATGGCCGTCATCCTTGACTTGGATAGAGTCGATTGTGTTGGCAGTAATGTCCACAAAGATGCTCTTTGCCCGCGCATCCAGAGCATTATCAACGAGCTCTTTGACGACAGAACTGGGGTCAACAAGGACCTGCCCGGCACCAATCTGTCTCGCTGCTATTGATGAAAGCGCCGCGATGCCGGGTACAGCAACGATTTCCGGGCCCTCCGACATATCGTTAGATGTGAGGATGATGGTGCGAAGGTGCCATTTGTGCAATGCAATTAAAACCGAGTGAGTTCTGTGGTTTAGGAGAGTCCCCGGTGAGTGTCTTCATCGTGCCTACCTCTTACACGAGCTGGGCCCGAGGCGGAAAGAGCGACGTGCCTCGTACCTTGCGCGCGCCATGGTGCTACTCATGAATGTTACATTTTCCGTGGGCATTATCTCGTGGGTCGCATCTCGGTATACGATACTAACACGTTCGTGATTCATAAGGTCAGCCTGCGTCATAGCTCTCAAGATGGCTTTCAAATTGACCAATCACAGCGTGCATCACCTTGGGGCCTAGGAACACTTCGACTCTTAAGATGGCTCGTTGCCGCGGTCAAGTTCACTATACATGTCTAATCGATAATTTTGTCCACTTCAGAATTGCATTCGTTATCACAACCAGGAAGTACCCTTAGTCGGTAGTGTTGCAGTTAAATCAGCACCATTTCACGATTCTTCGCTCAGAAATATCCCAAGATTGTTCACCCGGCAGAAGTATGCTCTGAACACAACTGCGCAAACACTTGGATTCATGCTAACTTCGTAGTCAACCTATACTGAGTCTGTACCATGGCCTACGCAACTGACGCTGCACGGTGGCGAGCCCTCACAGTAAGAGACGCTGACGCAAACGGCCATTTCATCTACTCTGTCAAATCCACACGGATCTATTGCCGGCCAACGTGTCCAGGACGATTAGCGCGTCGGGCAAATGTTGGATTCTATGCGACTCCGTTTGAAGCTGAGGCAGCTGGATTCAGAGCCTGCAAGAGATGCAAGCCAAACACCGTACTTGAAGATCCACAGGAGCGAGCGGTAGAGAAAGCATGTGTATTGATCGACGAAGCCTTAAAGAAGGAGGACCCCAGCTCACTGAGACTGCAAGACTTAGCTAAGAAGGTCAACCTCACGCCTCGGTACTTCCACAAGATCTTCAAAGACAAGACAGGCTTGACGCCAAAGGAATACGCAAAGAATATTGCGGCCCAGCGCAACAGCCCCGGCACAATGTCTGCTTCGACGATGAGTGCAGATGAACGGAACCAACTGCGAGATTGGGATATATTCGACTTCAATGATCTAGTTGAAATGGGAGCAGACTCAAGTCCACTCAACATGAAAGACTTCAGCGTGCCCGAGGAGCACTCGTCTGCGATCCATCACGATTTCGACTTGAACATGAGCAATCTCATAGCGTCTTGGAGCGACAACTATGCGCTCGACCAGTCTATTTCCTGGCCGGCCGATGCCTTCGTGGGAAGGCCAGCAATGTCGGAACTCTATGAGAGGGCGGAGTTACCAGTGTCAACACTTGAGCTGGATGCTGCTGCGTTGCTCGACAGCAGTAGCATGTCGAGTAGCCTGCGAATATAGTATCCATAGTATCCACATATATGCGAGCGCATTCATTCTATAATATATGCGTCATGCAACTGCTGCTAAGCATGCTCATGCTACTGCAATGTGATCTTGTCAAGTCTTTGCTTGCCAGCCGGCTCCATCATGGATCATCGAGTAAAGATCGCGTTCGTTAGTGCGTCATACAGCGATGCCTGTTTTGTTTCAGCCGTCGCGAGGTTATTTCGTAGTCTGTTCATTACATCGTCAGCAGCGGTTCTACAACTGAATTCTATGATGTAGGAACGAGGATGCTCTTCAGAGACCGAGTTATAAGCAGCGACGGCGTAGCATATGTCGATGCTAGCCATACCTTTTCCGGCTCTTCCTAAAGTATTTAATGGTCGATGTATATCATCTTTGAGCTTTGTGCCGACGTCGCAATTATGCGAGTGCTGTGATAAGAAGAAACCGTTAAACGTACCTTCTGAAACATAATACTGTTGATAGGAGCTACATGTTAGTCGTCCAAGATAAGGGAGATGTTAGCGAAGAGGGTGGTCGCCCTATTGAGCTTTACAGAGCTTGCGCCATGGTGTTGGAAAGTTGGTGTCAAGGTGCAAAAGCGCGAGGAAGAAAAGTTGAAGGGTTTCGGAAGAAAGTGCAGAAACCACCGACAGGACCCACATCCAGGACGCGCTAACGTCTTTCATCTACTAAAATCACTAGCACGTATGTGCAACATGTCGTCTGTGAATCTCACATATCAGTCTCTTTGCGCTGATTGATGTGTTCGCAACGTTAATCATGGAAAAACTCTGTATGAAATTCAGTATAATCTGATATCTCCGTCAGGAAATGGAGTTTACTCCCCAACAGCGTTCCAGGCGCTCAATGGATCCGCCCAGACCTCCCAATGCCCTATCTTGCCCTGCTCGTCAAACCCACTAAACCTATAGATGAATTGTTCGTTCCATCCCTTGCCCGTTTTCCTACTTGTAAATCGTCCCTTACCAACGACACTTACCATTCCCGCCTCTGCATCCACAATGAACCCCTCCTTTCCCGGGAATGCATCCTCGGGCAAAGACATGTCCAGTACATCAGTCATCACCTTGAAATACTCCTCGCACCCATCTCTACCAGAAAAGGTCTTAGCTAAGAAAGGTAACCGAGAACGTGACCACTCAGGGCCGTGCTCCGTGATCTTGGGCGCATTGCTGAAGTACTGCAATAGGAGGTCTGAGGGAGGAGGCGGCGATATTAACGCGCGGCAGAAGGAGTGGGTCGTCTCCCGCAGTGCAGTGTTGCGCGTTGAAGACATGACTGGTGGGTCTTTCTCCGGGAGAAACCTTGGGAGACGGTGAAGCGGATATGGAAGCGTTGGGGGTTGTCGCAGTAAGCGATGCAAGTGGTACCGTTGCGTGCTGGTCGGTAGGTCTACCTGCACTTTCACACGCTCAAGTGTGTGATTCGATGCGCGGAGACGACGTTTTGGGTACCGGGCGGCTGTTCCGTGTGGAGAAGATGAGCTAACAGGTTGTCGGTTCTGTTGCGGAACAATGGGCGTCAGCGAAAGACGCGCGTAAGACTCTAGCTTGGGGGCGTTTGATTGCCAAGTAGACGATGTTTGATATGGGACAGATAAACTGGGATCAGATGTCTCGGGTATGTGCAATACTGCCCACCGTGGAAGATGCGTGCGAAAAAGCGTGCGCGATCGGTGATAGTCTGGATGGTAGGAGGACCTGCGATGAAGTCATCGTGATGCTGGCCTGCAGCACTTGCACCTCCATGTTGCTCACAGGCAATGATCATGACAAAGAGCCTTTTGTTTTTTGCCCAAGCCTGGTACCACCGTCTTTCTTGGCTTTTCTCCTTCACAGGGTGTGGAGCTGCCTTGTATGCTGAGAGTATCAAGCTACCTGGGTAGTCGTCTGCATCATGCTCCCCACTTCAACTCATGTCGCAAAGATAACACACCATTCACCAACAATGCAATCCAGGACCCATGCCCCTGGATATTCTCGAATGCTCCAAAGCTACCAATGCGATCCTTGCCTGTTCAGAATCCGCCAATAACTTCGACCGGCTCAGCGTGCCGTAACGGCGTACGTCAGCAAGGCCGTGGCCCAATCTACAGCGTAGCATACATATGCGGCTTACATGCAACCATGCGACGCCGCTGCGGAAGTTCCCTCTGTTGGCTCCAACGGAGTTATTAGGATGAGTCAGATGTAAAGCATGCAACAACTGTTACCTATCACTCACAATCGCATCTTGACCCGGCAGTTGCAGCGCGAGGAGCAGAGGACGCATTGCAGTATCGTAGTAGTATCAGAGTTTTGAATTGATCAACGTTACCCTTGGGCTCCGAATGTGTCCTAGGTAGTAGATAAGCCTGCTGTCCACTTCCAAGATACTGTAAATAGTAATAACAAAATGCTTCAATGTGAGCCAAGTGCCGAAACGCTGCTCTATGGTATCCATACCGTGTCATACGGCCCCATTCAACGCCCCTCGCTGTGTGGTTATACAAGTACAATTTCACCTCCTTCCAACGTGCCAGGACGCCTTAGTCCATTGCAGTAAAGAGGCATACCTGCCGCGCCATCTGACTTGCAAGCAGAATCTCCCTGAATACTTGGTCCATACCACCTCTGAAATGGATCGTATAACTGTCCACTTTGCCCTTCCTTCTCTTCTCACCCCATACTAGTTTGATTGGCTTCGCGTCGTCGCATCGCTTGCCCGTCCTGCTTCCAGGTTTCATCCAATCTTGCTGGTATTCGTACAATGTCTCCGGCATTGCATCATCGTTTGGATCACCCTGTTTCCACACGAACCGTCGTCCGCCATATTTGAAGCGTCGTGGCGACCACGGAATCTTGTGCTGTCTATCTGGATATTCAGAGATCGGTTGCGAGAAGGGGCCCTTCAGATGTATGCTTCGCGATTTGTAGGCAGCATCTTTAGTCGCCATACGCTTTTTGTCGATGCCAGAGAGAAGGATGGATATGCACGGTTGTGGGAATTCAGCAACGCGAAAGAAGTCGGCAGCGTTGACTTGACTGTCGTCACGATGGGTGGCTTCAAGCATATACAAAGCGTATTTGTTCGAGTAGTCGCGTGCGCTGTAGATATACTTCCGGAAGCCTGAAGACCCGGTCCATTCTCGTGTGCGGTGGAGATTGTATGTCGTTGTAGGCTGTGTAGGATCGAGTAACGAGTGGTAGGGGATGTCAGGAGATGGGAGTTCGTCATGTGGAGCATGTGACACAGGCGAGTAGGAAGTTTGCCAGGTGAGGAGGTTATGGATCTAAACCATGTCAGCTTGGCTCAACAGTGCCGTGGGAGCGAGCTTGCTACTCACTGCGGATAGGCTCTCGCTCTCCTCGTCCAAGTCTCCGTTGGCTCCCCACTGATTCGGTGCTGGTACAAAGACACACTCATTGCCCTCTTCGTCAATCTGATCGCTCCCACTTTCAAGGTGTGGCCTCAGCGCCCTCTGTCTCTCTCTGTGGATGTTGATTTGCGTCTTGAGTATGCGGACTTGCTCGTCGGAGTTGTCGTCGGGCGATATGCTGGCATGTGACTGCTCAATCTCTTGCTCCAGCGCCAACGCCGCTGCCTCGTGTTGCAAATAGGAGTTGTCGTAGAGCCAGGCGTGCTCGGATTCGAAAGCAGAGCTCCTCAAAAGCTCCAGGTGCTCCCGTGACGTGAGTGCTGGATGACCCATGGTTGGGCTATGTGTGTTGACTGAGACGATGTTTGCGAAGATGTGAAGGCGATGTGTTCCAGAACGAGGAGTAAAAAGCAAGTCGAAATGAAACGGGGTTGTGATTCAGCCTGGTGTCGCGCAGGAACAAAAGGAATATCCAGGCACAGGTGGAATGAGGGACGACGGGCTGAAGAGCATAGTCATCGTGGCCAGGCTGGCAGCAGCTGATGGAGCACCATGGGAGTAGGTGGACGAGTAGGGTCGCGCTGGATCCCCGTCGCGCCCGCCGCACCCTGTCATACCGACCTTCTGCTGTTGTGGCACATGGCGTGCTGGGGGCCAAGTTGCGGTGGCATGGGATAGAGGTGCAGCTGCAGCTGCGCTAGTCTAGGCCGCATGGGGTAATGCGAGATTGGAACTCCATGTGCAGGGCCCCGGCACAGCATCGGAACAGTGGTTCTGCATGTTGGCCATTCCACTGCGAGCAGTCTTGCAGCACACCTAGTTGCATGCCCTCGGCCGTTCCGAGAACCTGTTATGCCGCCCGCGTGATAGCGTCAAGATGCCGACACGCTGCCGTTTCGCTTCATCCTTCGTGGCCTGAGTGGAAATTACCATTTCGTCTTTCGCCTGTTCCGCCTCGTGCATGTCTGCCTTAGCGTAAGACCAGACCATGCCGCATGCGGCTTCGCAATGACGACTCTCACCGTCCTTACAGCAGCAGACTGCGGGCGCTTAGCAGGCATCGGACTCCGAACATGCGGTCTGTTCTCTGTCTAACCAGCCCACACACCACTTGCAAACCCCCACTAACAGCTGTGGCTTGCGCTGCCTCCACGACCCCTGCATCTCCAGCACCTTCGCGAAGCATATGAAACCTTCGATACGAACCTCACCTACTTCTCACGCAGGGTCAGATGGTTTCGCGGTGAAGGAATGCTGTAAAGCGCGCTGGGCAGGGAGCGTCGCCATGGAACGTGGCTGCTGACAGGCTTCTACCCCACAACCGTTATCTGGTGATGCAGCCCCCTTCGGCTCGCCGTACGGGAGGAACAAAACCATCTTCTCATCCTCTTGTCCCTTCACGCACGGCTACATGTCGCACACCTAGCGTTGTTGCGAGAGATCATGTTCTATCGCGTAGCGTGGTAAGTACGCAGGCATATATCGAAAGAATAAACAAATGCCCCCAAGTGCCAGAGTCGCCATTTGGACCCAGCTCAGTTGGCCTTCCGAAGAGTCTTCGCCTTGTTTGCGACATGCGCGGGGAACATACGTCGTATGCTCAATTTTGGCCCTACGGAAGAGATCGTCGGCTCTCGCAGAAACCTGTTAGGAAACTGCGATCATGATAAGCATCGAGTCCACCACGAGAACAAAGAATCACTGCGCTAGTGAAAGCAAGCACATGTTCCACTAAAGAGCGAGATTGGCTTGCTATCGCTGCTCCGGACGCACCTTATGACTTCACTGGGACCCAGATGGTTCACTGGCTTATTGAAGGCAGGTAATGCTGAGACATTCCCTCCTGATTCCTGCGCCTCTCGTTGCCTTGGTGCAACGTGTGTTCTGATCAGACTAGCAATGCTCAAGGAAGGACTTACGAAGAAGTCCTCGCGATTTCCCACCATACATCATCAAGAGTTGCTAACCCGCACGAAGCATCAACTTCGAAGGAAACACACAACTCGTGAGTAAATGGAGGGTTGAATCGCGTTGCAACGGAACCTTGGGGGAGGATGCAACAACGCACCAGAACGCCGAACAGGTTGCGAACCTCACCGCCTCGGTTGTGTTGTGATACTGATTGGTGCTCCACAGCATCGTATCGATGGTCGCACTGTCAAGCTGCAATGTAAGGTACGTCGCTTTGACTTAACTACCGGTGCTATGGTCCCGACAAACTGAGATCCCCACGAATACGTCATACTTCGATTGTAAACGTGGAACAGCATCAGAACAGAGCTATTCTATATTCGTTTCAAGAAAGGACACGAAGCACCACGCAGGACAAAAGGTACCGCTATATTTACTGACGTGACATCATGGAAGATATACTACTCAAAACAGGGGATCACTCTCTTTGATCGGGACCAGTTCACCCTTTCCCTTGAACGCCTCCACGACTTGCGCCTGTTCGCTCAGCATAAACCTCGAAGTCTGGTTTCCCACACCAGCCAGACCCCTCCATCTATCCAGGTCCTCTTTCTTCCTCTTGTCGCCCAGTGCCTCCTTTGCTCTCTTCCAGTGACCTTCCGAAAATGCAATCATCGTCGTCATCTTTTTCTCTTTAATGTCGTAAACCGCAGAGACGATAGTACCTGTCTCTTCGAGCCAATTTATCTGCCATAGTTCGCCAGGGCGTATGCATTGGTATGTTGCGCGTTGGTAGTTCACGCGACCGGCCATCGGACCACCATGAATGGCATAGACGACACGGTCAGAAGAGAAACACCATAGTTCGTATCGCCATTTTTCGGGGTTGCCATTGCTATCTTGCGCGTCATAGTCGTAGATCAGATGCGTGTCGAGGATGTCTTTGTCGAAGCTGGGATCGAGTTCCGTGTTTGTGAGAAAATCGGGAAGGTTTTCGCCTGGTGCCATCGTGCCTGTACCTTGCGATGTTTCTTGATAGTGGTAGATATGGTAACAGCAAGGTTTTTGCAAAGAGGGCCTCAGGTTTGGATATGGTTGATGCTCGGCACTACCGGATCGATGACGTATGTGTAGCTCCCAGAGCTAAGTTCCATGCCATGCGGCGCTACCAGAAAGTCGACATCTAGATTGGCCTTTGCAATCGGTCCGGAACAAAAGGAAATACAGCTGAGTGTACCTACACCATCGACGTTAATGTGTATCCCTACTTACCATCATATCCAGAAAGGTAGTATCATGCGTATAACTCATACCTCTGCCCTGACGTATCCTCCGACTATCTGAGAAGCGGATTAACCCATAGAATCAGAGGCATTACATCGCCTACTTGCACTAACGCTGATGCACTAATGACTTTCCAGTGGTCGTGTCGTGGTACGGGCCAGACCTGCTTCGCACTTACCCAAATGACAAGCACAGGTCTTGCATATCGACATCTTGCCATTGAGGCCACAATACATAGACGAAGTCGATCCGACCATGCATAGAAGTAAAAAAGAAAGAAAAAAGACAGGTGTTCTGATACGGGCTGCAATATCTTTTCCAATGGGAATCGAGCTCTGCGGAATGCGCCTAGCAAGCTGAATCTGACTCTCTACGCTGGAAAAGACATCCAAGAGGACTTCATGGAATCTGGGTCATGAGAGTTGACTTGATGCGATCTGTTGTGGATGAGGAAGAAGGATAAGGAGAAGAAGATAATGCATGGCTGATGGAACTCCGACTACCCTACTAGGGGCTTAGTGCGAATGACTAGAGGCTCCGTGCCCGTGGATTCGTCCAGCAGAAGTAGGCGATACATTCCCTTTGTCAGCAATGCCGGATACAGAAAGGTTCCGTACAAGTCTCTCGTATCATAAATCTTCCGGAGTCTTTGCTTGGGGTACCCTAGGCAGGATCTGTTACGAACTGTCCACCTCACTGAGAGGCTCTGTTCGATGATCTGGGCGGTAGCAGATGGACTAACCACATTGGGTAGCATTATTTCTCGACTAGCTTGCCTACCAGCACGATCCGATTGATCAGTTCAGGAAACATACTCGCTGGATTACCACATCAGATCAAGATCTCGGTCTTGGTAGGCGACGGACGAATGTTAGAGAAGATTCCAAGGGCTACCGTTCTCATGGTATAAAGGTCTGGGTGTCTGCAAGGAACAGATATCCAGCATACTCACAAACACGCACCCAACTCTTAACACTTAATCTAACTACTTGAAAATTGGTCGTCTTTATACATACCAATTACTTCTCAATTTTTCCATTTTTCCAAACGAGCCATCCGAGATGCCAACCCCTTCGCTTCGCCAAGTCATTGGAATCCCCAATTCGACAGCATCGGTCAAAGACTCCGTCCTTGTCATCATCGACGCTCAGGACGAGTACATCTATGGTAGTCTCCCAGCTCAAGATTACAAAGAGGTCAATGTCGCAATCTCCAGCCTTCTGGAGAAATACCGGGAGCAAAACGGCCACGTCGTACATGTCCTGCACGACACTGGCTCCGATGAAGCACCCATTTTCAAGCCCAATGGCAAACTTACCAAAGAGATGGATGGTGTTGGAGCCATCAAAGGCGAGGCCATCGTATGGAAGAAACATGCTGGGTCATTTTCGGAGACAAATCTAGCAGAGATTGTCAAGAAGACTGGACTCCGGAAACTTGTTCTCACGGGATACATGGCACATGGTTGTGTATCAAGTACCGCTCGTGAAGCGACTACGTTAGGTTACGAGACCCTTGTTGTTGAAGATGGTGTTGGACAGCGCGATATGAAGGACATCCCCGCCGGGCAGGTGAAAAAGGTTGCTTTGACAGAGATTGATGACATGTTTGGAACGGTTGTGAAGGCCTCAGACATCAATTAAGCAGATGTGACTTGCTCTGTTGAAGATGATCCCAGTTGTGAAGTGAGTGTAGTAGTAGGGAATAAGGATAAAATTTTCTCTCTGAGACTCTGAAAGTACACCTCAAATGTTTCAGTATTGTGATTTATGTGCTTGTTGCGCGACAATAATCAGGTTTCAGTGTCTAGCGATGGTATAGATACTATGAAACGCGCTAAGCAGTCGGTGAAAAGCTTCCCATGCATCACTATTACATAGTATTCTAATTTGACCTTTTCAGCCCTATGGCTCTATAGCCGAGCTTGCTTTCTATATCGGCGCGTAACTCTCCTCACGTAGTAATTTACGAAAACGCTACTCGAACTTACACACCCTTCTCTCCATAAATCACAACATGTTCGGTCGATCGCCGTCCATGTGTTGCCACCTGCATTGGCGCACCGTCTAGTGGAGCTACACCAGCTCGCCTGGCCTCCCTCTCCGTGAAGGTACCGTACAGATCGGTGGGATCGATCTGGTCCATATCAGGGACGGGAAAGATCAGGTTGAGTATGTAGAAGATAACGGCGCTGATAAAGAAGCCTGATTGAATGTAAGCGATAGTGTAACCTCTACAGCATATAATACCTTACTTACCTATCAAGAAGGCCATGTTGTAGAGTTGCACCAAGGACCGCGGGGGATCAACATCTCCTCTAACGGTCACGACGAGGCCTCCGATAGTTGGTGCCCAACCACAAAGCCAAGACGGTATGGCCCGCCAATTAAAGCCTTTGGTGAAGTAGTACGACGAGTCCTCTGTTCGGTATAGATGACTCAGGCGAATCCTTCTCTTTCGCAAGAGAAAGTAATCGCATGACATGATACCAATTATAGGCGCCAAAAATACAGAGAAGGACGACAAGACAGCGATGAAAGTGGTGGCACGATTGATGAGTTGCCATGGCTGGACGACCCATGCAGCCACAAACGTGATAATGGCACCGCGACGTATGTTGATGTAACGCGGAAAGAGACCAGCAAGGTCGATTCCACCAGAGACAGCGTTACCGCATATGTTTTCGAACATTGCAGTGAAGGCGAAACCTGCAGCCAGAAAGAATACACCCGCGCGGGACCGCGATGAGCCGTTCCCACTGTCCATCATGCGCATAAGTAGATCTGGTGGGTTCCAATAGATCTCGCCATAAATCTTTTGTCCCGAAGCAGTGGTGACCAGTCCAACCAATGAGACGGCGACGTTCGTGATCACACAGCTAGCTATGGTACCATAGATATAATGCCTCCTTGAACGTGCATAGCGTGAGAAGTCACTGCCATTGGTGATGCCTGCAGCAAGTCCGCCAATGGTTTGGTTTATGCCAGCCATGATGAGCCATGAAGTACTCCAAAGGGAGCCTGAAGGAATGGTTTGGCCAGCGTTCCAGAGAGGGCCTACGCCTTTCGCAGTTACCACTGCCCAGATCATCCATGCCAACATGCCGACACCGCACCATATGCAGACTACAAGGAATGGAATCTTGAACTTCTCTGGCCGCAGCCACAGGAATGGGGTGGATAAGAACCAGAATACGACAAAGCCTACGAATTGGTCCGTCGTGGCAGGGAAGCTAGGGCTGAAAGTGTTCGGCATGCGTGCGTACGATGGCCAGATCGCAGTAAGGCATACAGCAACTAGACGGCCGCCATTCCAACCTGACCTGGATCAGTTTTGTAGTGCTATATCACCCATAAGGAGTCTTGCTTACATTGGACCGCATTCCAAATGAAGTTGAGTAGGATTCTTTGTAGCAAAGGTATGAAGCTTCCTCGCATACCCCAACTATACCTATTCTGTACTGTGAAGCCAATGTGCCACTTCAATCCAACCCAAGCGATGGTTGTAGAGAATAGGGCGATCAATATGCTGCTGACAACGATGATAAGGATAGCCTGTGGGACGGATAAACCCATAGCTTCCGTGACTATCAGCTATCAAATATCAACATTCGCCCTTCGTTGTAGCTTACCCAAGAATGTGCTTGGGGTCTGCCAATTTGCGAGGTTCAGCGACGCAATTGCCCAAAACCCGAAGAAGTTGAACCAACCCCATGTCCTCCGCTCTGGCGGGAGTGGGATCAGATCGCGATTACTCCATGCATCCGTCTGTTCGTGCTTTTCGTCGTCTCCATGCAGGCGCACTTTCTGCTCAATCACACCCAATCGATGCTTTAAAGTCATGATGCAGGTAGGCGAACAACTTTGTCAATGTTCGATGAGGCTGGAATCAACGATTGTTGGGGAGGGTGATGGTGATAACCCTCTTCTTATCATTGGCGCTCGCGGATCTTCCCCCATCTATCCCACCTTCCTAAGACAATCACAACCCATGCATACCCACTCTTGTACATCGGCATATGCTTTGTGAGGAGCCATCGCTTTCATATAAGTTTGTGTTGCGTCGCTCTGTCGTTGTGGTCGACAAGAGCCGTTTTGGAAAATAGCCGGCTGCTCTCAGCGGGGCGGCCTGAGGCGATGTTTCATGCGTCCAGCCTCCCGCGGCTACACAGGCACCAAGATCCTGTTGATACCTCACTCGCCTGCCCTTACGCAGACCCCACAAACCTCGCATAGGCCTTGCTTTCTACTGATACCTAACTCATTTGTTGCTTTTGTCCGTCAGTGTCTTTGGGTCGATCGCTTGTGTTCATCGTTCATCTTGGGCGCCTTGCGCCTTGAGAATCGCGAGGGGGTTGACATGTTTTGGATGGGGGCGGAATCTTGCTGATCTACCAATACTTGAAGACGAGTCCCTACGCTCCAAGAATCTCGACTGTCATCGCGTTCTTTAAGACGTCGTACCAGTGGTAAACACCATGTCGTCGCTGACTCCCACTCCTCAATGGCAGGGCTGGCAGACTCATCGCCGCCAGCAGTCGCCTCCACAACAGCCAGGGTACCCACAAAACCGTTATTCGCCGGCCTCTTCGCCTAGCCACTCATACTACGGGGAGTATGCACCTGCCTCAGGATCCTATATACAACCACACTATAGCGAAGATGCACCGGTGCCAACTATCGCAGAGCTACCAGCACCCTTACCGCCAGCTCCACCAACTACAACAACTGAGGAGCAATTGAGACAGGATGAGCTGCTTGCGCATAGGATGCAAAATTTGGAAGTGCAAGGAATTCGGAAAAGATCGCAAAGTGCAGTAAGTCAGCATGGTCGCCCTGCAAGCATGATGCCGCCTAGCACCCAAGGGTTATCACCATTGCTACATCAGCAGCGATCCGCGCAATCTTTGCGACTTCATTCGAGAAGCGTCTCTTCTTTCGCCGATCAGCGGCCAGTGAGCATGGCTCCAGTGATTACCCAGCAAGTCGCGCCTCTGCCTCTCGTTCATCAGCGCTCCGCACAATCCCTACGGCCTCATTCGAGAAGCGTTGGTGCACCCGCCGAACCATGGAGTCCTGGATCATTCGATTCACCGCAAGATCTAAGCAGGTTCAGTACCTTGCCCGAAGTAGTCGTGGAGCAATACCCGGTATACAAAGATCCCCAGTCGCCACTCGAGAATCTACCGATTCCGGTACTACTGGATCAACAGCCAACAAAGCGACCTTCAATTGCACTGGAACCATCATCGTTGCCCGGATATCTCGAGCAATATCGTCAAGCACCATACCCGCCTCAATGGAACCCACCACCCGTTGTTTCAACCCTGTATGCTCACCAGGAAAGCAAACGACCATCCGGATCCAGCTGGTTGGAAACACCAGACTCGTGCGCCTGGCGAACAATACGTCCCTCAGAGCATACGAAAACTCCCGTTCTACCGTCATACTCGTTCAAGTTCAAGAGCACGAGTAGTAGCTTCCGCAGTCCCAAGTTTTCATGGACAATGACATGTCCTGACGAGAACACCGAATCAAGCAAAAAGGTTTCCAAAGCACATCAAGCTATTTGGACCTATGATCTGAAGCTGGACCCCAGGACTAACCTCCGCAAGTCTGAAGTCTTGAGCTATGGAGGTCCAAATGCCAGATCCATCTTGACAACCTACGTGCATGCGCTTAATTATGATTCCCTACGCTTCATCGGCCCAGATGGATGCGCATACATGTGGGTCACGAGCACCAAGGTATCGTCCATCCAAGGCTCAAGGTATGACACACTAAGACATGCTCTCTTTGTTGCCATGGGGAACATCGCGGATCCACTCTACGGCAGTATCGTTGCAGATCACTGCTTCTGGGATGGATACGGTGATGGAAGTGGAGGGTCTCTGCCTGATGAATCGGTTCATATTCGTTCGGCAACTGTGGATCCAGCGATGGTTGTGGCAACATTGCAGGTGATGAAAGATTGGGAGAAGCATACGCTCAGACAAGAGAAAAGGAAGAACCCCAAGGCCTTCGCAGCAGCGGAAGAAGAAGCCAGGGGTTGCGAGCTTGGAACCTTCAGCTATTGGAAAGCTTGAGAGATTTACGAGTCCACAGGTATCAGAAAGGAGATGGATATTCGCTGTGGAGTCTGAGCGATTACTCAATGTAAAGGATTTCCCCGAGCGAGTGCTTGGTCCCAGCTTCATATCGCAATTTCTTTGCGCTGACGCGTAACTACCTAGCGCTTCGATCTGGGGCTGCATGCGACTGTGGCTGCCTCACGCCTTGTTGTCCAACTCCTTCAGAGTCGGCGGAACGACCACAACTTCCACCAATCACGGTGGCAACTTACTGAGGGTTACGCACAGAACCACATATCGTTCTAGGCTTGCGCTGCGATCGGATGCGGCGGACCTACCCGTTGATGGTTCGTTTCGATTGCACACATAGCGCGTTTCACCCCCTTAGTTCCCGCGCTCGGGAAATAACACATCATTTGAGTCTCTTGATAAGTATCAGATCACGACCATCAGGATAGCCACATCAAGCCACTCGTCGTCACATTTCGTATCCAGTCACTCGTTTACCTATATCACACTCTTTCAAGAATGCTCACCCTTGCACTTCTCAGCGCTGCGCTGGCCGCCACTCCAGCTCTGGCAGCGCCATCTCCTCAAGGCGTCACCATCTCCAACTCGGCGACACAGGCACCAATCAAGATGTGTGGCACGGCTCAGAACGTCGTTCTGACTGATACCCCGTGGATCGTGTACAACATGTTCTACAACTCGGCACAAACCAAGGGAAGCATGTGCACAGCATACGACTCCGTATCGACTGGTTCAGATGGGAACAAGAAGATCAAGTGGAGTGCGGTTACTGACATCGATTATGTGAAAGCCACGTATGTACACTCGAATTTCATGATTACCAACGTTTGTATGATCTTGTCGCTAACCTGAGTCTAGCGACAATGTGCCCAAGGGTTACACTTTCGTCGGCCTGACCCAAAACCTCGAGACAAAGCTCTCCGCTATCAAATCAATTCCTGCAACATACGAATGGACGCGCACCAACACCACCGCCTACAAAGGCAATATTGCGTTCGACTTTATGACCTCCGATACTAAAGGCGACTCCACATCTTCTTTCGCCCAGGAGCTCATGCTATGGCTTGAATATACTGGTGGCCAACTACCCATCGGATGGCCTGCTGGTGCGAAAGCCACAATCCCCAACCTGTTCGGTACGAGCTGGAAGTTGTACCAGGGTAAGAACGAGGATACCGGTATTACAGTCTCAAGCTTGCTGCCTGATGAGATGTTTCAGAGTCCTTTCCAGGGAGACTTAAAAGAGTGGCTAGAAGCGCTTGTCAAGGTCGGTGTTTTCAAAGACAGCACGTACGTCAACGTTGGCAATGCAGGTACGGAGCCTTTCTACGGGAAAGCCACTGTAGATGCTACATTGGGTCTGCAAATCAACCTGTAGGCTTCGTGATGCATTCATGATACAGTGGTCATCATCGTCGAGGATGGTCTTCGCTCATGGTATATGATCATGTGTCCACTCTCCTCTCTTTCACTTCTTGTACCTATTTATAACTAGAGCATACCGTAAGATAGCTCACAAGCCAAACATTGCTAAAACACGAAGAACCATCAACGCAGTTTAACTGTTCATCCTACTATAGGCATGGTGAATGTTGTAGACTTACTCATGTTTACAGAAATATTACCCTACAACGCTGTGGTATTTTCTTGGCCTTAAAGCTAACATACCACACAGTGCACTTCCATAGACTGTACAGCGTACGAGATTGACTGACTATAAGGAATTCTCTGACGGGTTTCGATCTGTCCTAAATCTCACAGAGTGAGATACCGGCGCCGGTTCAGCTTCGTCAACAACAAGCAACTTTGCATACGCATACCATAATTCAACTGATCCCGGCGATCAATGTAAGCAGGAACTCTGAGCTTGATACGCACCAATAATTACACTTTCTTTGAATCATAAATTTCAATATGGGTCTCTCTGCTGCATCTGGATATGCAGTCTCTGGTAGGCGTCTAGCTCGAACCCCATTTGGGAAACCTAGTCTACCGTCGACATGTTTGTACCTTATGCCTATATACGGATCTCCTTATCCATCCGTTACTGGAGAGGCGAGAGATGAACATGACCACTCAGAGGTGCTGACTGGAATCACAGACGCAGAAGTTTACACAGAGCAGTGTCAGGCTACATTTGCTGCTAAACATCCAATGCGCTCACTGGAGCGCTTTGACTCATTTGATCACGCACCAAATGAGATGATTAGTTCTTCCACGATAAAGACGCGGACAAGGTCTGCTGCCATTTCAGATCCGACCCAGGAGAGTGAGCAGCTGGACTGCCCTTCTTTCTCGGGAGCATCGGAACATGCAGAGCTACTTTTCGATGCAGTATCTCCATTCACATACGACGAGAATCTAGCACTAAGTAGTATCTTCACAGGAGGGACTGCGACCGGAAGAACCTGGCGACTTGAATGCGACTCCATCCTTCGATACACCACCGGTTCCCCAATGCTCCCAGGATTAGATCATCTTCGCAATATCACGGTTCGCTCCGCAACTATCCAGTATGACCACAACATTGAAGATCTGTATTATGCCACTACATTCTTCCTTGATGATCGTCAAGATGGCGAGTGTTCATGTTCAGATGGTGAGATGTGTAGTCTTCGCGTGCCTGGCGAGAACTTCATGCTCGCTAACAACGACGACGATGACGACGACTGCAGTCTCTCAGATACATACCCCGCGGCAGAAGACATATCTCAGCTTATAGATGAGTTCGTCAATGCGGACATGTTTGACGTATACGGAGTTCATACAGGCATTTCGGAAGTGCTACCTCTTGATAGTGGATACTTTGACACCACTCCACAAAATGTTAAAGCCTCCAAGGAAATTGACCAGCTGTTGTACCCGTCTAGCTCTAACGCTGTATCGTTTGTGTGCGACAACGAGAGTGATTCTGATGTCTCTGATCCAGACGCGGAAAGTTTGTCATTGAATCACCACCCAGAACTAGAATATGTCGACACTAAAACAGATCAGTTTGTCGCTTATACAGCCTTGATCCAACTATTCGCAATGAAGGAAGAAGAACCACGGCCAGTCATTCACCGCGATACCGCTGATGAGGATGAAGAGCCGGCGGAGATCGGCCTTGCTGAATTGGTCTATCTTCCCCCAACAGCAAAAGATTATGCAACCTTTCTGCCACTACAAAATAGCTTGAACCCAAACAGATCTAGCCCCGACTTGTATTCAGGCATTTCTCGGACTCCAGCACCCGTTCAGCCTGAACTCAATCTCCAGCCCGCCGCACGCCAACGATGTAAACCGTATGGACTTTACTCTAGCAATAGGTCTCGACACCAGCGTCAGCTGCCGCAATTAAGAGTTGCCACTCAACTCTTACCTAATCGTCAGCTATTGTCCATGATCTCGGAGGAAGAATCGCCATGCTCCAGCTCGTCTTCTTCGGGAGGCTCTCTGGACTTCGCCAATCATCGAGGATTCGTGAAGCCGCTGGAAAGTCGTCGTCTAGATTTCCTAGACGACGATGACTCTGAATCACCAGTGATGCCGATCTCGAACTCAGATTGCATCCTTGAACCTCTGAAAACTACAGACATAGAAGACTACGAATATATGTTTACCAATGCAATCTGGCACACTACGCCAGAGCTTGCATTCGTTAAACCCAGCCAGGAAGCATACTTTGAAATTGCGCCTGCATCGGCCGTACCTCCTTCGCTTCTCGAAGCACTTGAGATCGAGATCCACAGTCGCCTCACCTTCATGTTCAACTGCATGAACAGTGGGATCCTTGACGAACTACCAGCCCTCAGCAGTGACCTCCATTGGACACTTTGCGCTCTTTCGGATGATTATCCCGTCTTAACCTTATTAGACAGCCTAGGCGTAGCTGTAGAAATTCTTGTTGAGCGGATAGTAGCCTCTACTACTGCTTCTTAGCTTAGCATATGCGGCTGCCAGTTCGTTTTTGAAAGGCAGAGTGACGCTGATGGAGGCACTACCAGCAAATCAAGCTCAGCGTCCAAACTTTCATTAGCATTCATCAGTTCAACGCTTACTGTCTCATTTGCGAAGATTATTGGAAGATTGAACAACGATTACGCCCCACACTGGTATGCAAGTTAACAGAAGTGATGTGACTGAGTTTCTCCGGAATTTGTGGGTATGTTGCAACCTTGGGCGGCATTTTTCGTGTCTCGTGGGGCTACCAGGCCTGCCGTCATCGCTACAAGTTATGTGTTGAGGGTGATCAGGTTTAGGTATCTATTGCAAAGAGTTGTTCAGCTTCGCTACATCTGGTAATGATAGACGAGATGACCATGATGCATCTATCGCTGTTGCTCCCTTGATGTGGTCAGGACTCATCCAATCGTCGCGCTCAACCGCAGTGTGCTGGCAGTCTTGTCTCTGTATACTGATCAGTACCGGGGCCCAGATCTGGAGCGAGAGCCTAGCGCGGCTGGACCACCATCCGGTGCTATTAATGGCATCAATTGGTGGGAGTACCTCCGCTGTTGCTCGTATCAGCAAAACTCTCACCTGATAATGCACTGAGTTGCTGATGTTGCGGCGTTTTGATGACGAGCGTTGCGCCCAGAGCGCATATATGTTGTGCGTCCAGCGGATGCACGCTGCACATAAGTTCTATGCGGTCAAAGCGATCTAGGTACATTCTCTGCTGTTCAACAGGACGTCATCATCGCGTTCCATCACGATCGCGCACGTTATTTTGTACAAAGTACATATCTTGTGGGCAAAAGACAAAGAGTCGAGTAGTGCAAGAAGAATGGCCATGGTAAGCTGCGATCGCTCAGCTACGTTCAGCTGTTCAGGTCGTAACTGTCTAGTCCAAACATGTATGGAAGCTGCTCTGCTTGTCAACTTTTGACAGACGGTACTTTTTACCGCGAACGTGACTGTAGAAACAGCAGAGACGGAAATCCGAGAAAAGGTCTGTCGGTGTATTGGAATGTTCTAGTAATAAGTGTCGAAATCGTGGTCGTGCTCCGCTTGCTCCGATCGGTAAGAAGCTTAGGAGAAATAAGCTTCCGCTGGGTTCTACAAACAGGGGAGAAATGTCGAGGTACAGGCACAACCTGCACTAGCGCCATGTCTGATGTATGTGGCTGAGATGACATCTGGCTCAGGCTTGGTAATAATCTGGTGTATTTTTGAGAAAGGGATTTCTACTGGCTGACTGTCGAAAAATACGAGGCAGTGGAGAGAGGGCACTTGCCCAACCCAGCGCTTGGATTTCGTATTAGCGTGCACGGCTTGGATCACTCAGACCACTGCAGGTCCAGCCACACTGTTTCCATAGTATACAGTCTTGGATAAGTTTGCCACATTTGTTTGTAAGAGCGACGCACGATGTTGAGACTCATGACCGCTTGGTAGCAGCGGTGCAACGTTCATGTCAGGTAGAGGGAGACGAACGCCACGGACCATCAGCGCATTGCTTGTTTCCCGCGTACAGTACCTGAAAGAGTAAGACCGGGATCGTAACTGCAAATCAGCATATGTGGCGTTGCTAGCGAAGGAGTGAAGGAGTATTGACTAGACGATGAGGGAAGGCGGCAGTACAGAACTCGTCGACTCATTGATGGTCTGTTATCAAAGACCCGATCGAGTATAGCTTCCATAATGCGCGCAGGTTGAACTCGGAGGAAGCAAGGCTCGGAGTGGTGGGGCGCCCGAGGCTACGGCCCTGGTGGATCTTCAGGAACGTGGCCGGCTATCTTTGGGAGCGGTACTTGGGTAGCATAGCAACAACGGAAGTGTCGCCGAATGCGCGATCTCGCGAACATGAGTTGTTGAGGCCTGGCGGACGATGAGCTGGGCGGAGATGACGGTGGTGTGGTGAAGGCTGAGTTCCGAGAGCTCCGGCTTTCATGACTGGTAGCTGGTAGTGTGCTAATCCGATTATGGGTAAAGCATGATGCAAATATAGTCCACAACGGTCGCTCATCCCGGCAACGCTGGCATTAACGTGCGGTAGGGCTGTGCCGTTACTCGCTCAACCCCTGCGAATTTTTCGCTGATGTTACTTTTCTGGATGTTCACGCTATCGACAGCTCGTACGTAGAGCGGAGCTCTTCACATGGCGAGATGTTACTTCGTGTTGACAAAGTGGGGACGGCATCGACGTCAGCCATCATGGAAGCGTGCGGACAAGTCTGGGGACTATGGTATATAACTTTCATTCCATCTCATCAATCATGTCTATCTTCATCCAACCATTCACCTTCGCTTTCCAACCAACACTCGCTACAGTGCAATCGCAAAAGCCTCATAATAATTAATTCCAACCCAACGACCTCTGGAACTATCGTCAAAAGATCGAACCAAGAACACTATCAAGATGCGTTACTCTTACGTCGCTGCTACTCTCGTCGGCTCGGCTCTGGCCATGCCTCAATACGGCTACTCAGCTGTTGTTCCTACTGGATACCAGCCTGCCCCAACTTCATCAAAGCCATACGAAGCATCAACTCCCAGTGCCTACCACGCCTCGACTCCGGCCTCCTCCAAGGCGTACGAGGCATCCACCCCCAGCTCTCAGGTCCAGTACCCAGCTAGCACACCAGTCTACGAGGCGTCGACCCCTCCTGCCTACAGCGCATCCACTCCCGCAGCAAGCTCTTCCGTCTACCATGCGTCTACCCCTGCAGCGAGCTCATCCGCTTACCACGCTTCCACTCCCGTCTACAGCGCGTCCACTCCTATCTACAGTGCTTCCAAGCCTGCTGAGAGCTCCTCAGCTTACCATGCCTCCACTCCTGTCTACAGCGCATCTACTCCTGCAGTGAGCTCATCAGCATACCACGCCTCGACTCCCGTCTACAGCGCGTCTACCCCCATCTACAGTGCTTCCAAGCCCGCTGAGAGCTCCTCGGTTTACCACGCTTCAACCCCAGCCTACAGTGCTTCCACTCCCGTCTACCACGTCTCTTCTTACGGAACTGGTTACGTCAAGCCTACCCCCTCTTCTTACGGAACTGGCTATGTCAAGCCTACCCCCAAGCCTTCATCGGCTTCCGAGTACCCCCACTCCGACTACACCACTACGCTTACATCCACCTACACATCTTGGGTGCCATGCAGCACTTCAGTTGGTCAGGGAGAGCACTCCAGTGTCATCTACTCAACATACTTGACCCCAACCTACTCCACTGTCACCGTAACCTCGACTGTTCACGGCTCAAAGCCTACATCTGACGTGCCCGTCTACCCAGCGGAGACTCCTGAGGGACACAAGCCAACTTACCCAGCGGGAACTCCTGAGGCTCCCAAGCCAACCTACCCTGCCGGTACTCCTGAGGCCCCTGCACCAACATACCCCGCTGGTACTCCTGGCGGTCCTCAGTGCCCTGCCCCAGTGACTGTCACCAAGACTGTACATGAGGTTGAGACCAAGACCGTCACCGTTGGTGCTGGTGGTGCTTACACTCCTGGCCCAGCCCCTTCCGTTGTCTACCCCGAGGGTACCAAGCCATCCTCCTCTGTGGAGCACTACACGGAGGGCCCCAAGCCATCCTCAGTCAAGCCCTACCCTGTTGGTCCCAAGCCTTCTTCTGAGGTCAAGCCCCCTTACCCATCCTCTGGTAGCTCGATCCACTACACTGCTTCGTCAGCGCCCTACCCGGTTCACACCCCTTCCTCATCTAAGGCCTACCCCACTGAGTACCCTACCCCCTCGTCTTCCACCAAGGAATACCCAGCATCTACCCCTTCTTCCTCTACTAAGGGATACCCCGCCGCCACTCCCTCTTCTTCGACTAAGGAGTACCCCGCCGCCACCCCTTCTAGCTCCGCGGTGCCCTACCCAGTGAACACTCCTTCATCTTCGAAGGTCACCCCTCAACCCACTGGTTACGTCGCCTACCCCCACTACTAAGCTACTCAGGTAGCTTGAGCACTTTGACTTCTCATCTCAAGCAACAATTACGAGCGGCAGAGGTGTCTAAACAGTGACGTAGTAACTGTGGCTCCTCCCTGGTAGAGCCTTAATTTCCTCACCTTGCATTGCTCAAGCGTTTCTGTCCAAATTCGGTCGTTTTCATGCGTTTTGGAATTTCTTCTCATACTTCAATTGTTTATATTCAACGAACAACTGGTATAGAATGGTTACGATAGGTACGAGTTTAGTAGTAGACACATCTTATGACCCAACCTTTTGTCACTCCTTCAAAAGTACTTGCTTATCTTTCGTCGTGATGTGGAGGCTTTGAAGCACTTTACCAATTACAGCTCATTTCACTGAAGTCCAAACATACACTCACACTAAGACACTTGACCAATATTATTCTGTACATACACTTGGGCGAAAGCGCTGAAAAACACGAGCTCATGCCGCGCTTATGCATGCATGCATGCATGACCAATATACACATACAACCCGTAATCGTGTAGGTGGCGACGTTCCCGAATCCGGCAGTCTTCCCGCGCAATCGATAGTCTGGTTCGTATCAGTGCGCGTGCGCTTTTCATTCACATCATCACATCATGAATGTGTATCATGAAATGTGCGTGCATTGTGGCTTCCTTTAGCTTCCGCATCGCGAAGTTGAGTTGATTTGGCTCAAGCGACACATCATCAGATCTTAATACCGCAGTTGTAAACGCGCAGGGTCAAGCAACATGTCTGGGCATATTGGAGGACCATACAAACTTTTCTTCCACTAAGGGGGCTCAGCTGCAAGTCATGCGTCGATTAAAAACATTTGTCTACTGGAACCAGCTGAGTTGTTCTTACGAAAAAGCGGACTGAGGTGTGCGTGAAGACATTCACTAATCAGTGAGGAACAACTTGTAGAGAAACTAAGACGGATCATTCGATAGGTTGATTAGGATCAGAAATCCAGCTGCAGATTACGCGCTTCTTACCGAGGCAATCACTCTTTGGACTGATAGCTAGGCCATTTAGATGGTATCTAAGAAGGTGTGTGATCTCAAGTGAATGGACAAGCAAAATAAGAGAGAAATACCGCAGATGAATCAGTTTCGAAACAGCCTTGGCCGAGAACACTCTGGCAGTGGTTTGAGCAAGAAATAACCAGACATCTCTACCGTTCCTTTGCCGTCTCTTTTCAAGGCGTGACCATAATCCTAACCTATACAACATGGTGGTGTCAACCCGTAGGAAGTTCTATAGTATCCTGACATGGGCTACCGACCGCACGACCACTCATTCACGCACCTAAGGTGAGTAACGTCATTCACTTTACTATATGACATGCAAATAGCTGGAAAGGTTCTGTGATGACGCCTTGCGTGGTATTGAGTTTGTAGAGCACTCCGTCATATGCTAACATATAGATTCTCCTTTTGTCCATGTGGAGGGCACCGAGAACTTCTGTGAGAGGTTTAAAAAGTATTCCAGGGGTTGTGAATAGATTGACAGTAATGAGTAAGGGCTCAGAGTTTTTTTATAGTCGCTGTTTCTGAACGGATGATATTGGTGCAGATGATTGTTGAGAGCTTCTTTGCGGAAGTGGAAGAATGCAAAGCAACGCCGGATGACTGAGTGGGTAATCACATGGCGATGTATCACCTTGAGTGTGTTTGATATGACATGTCTTTAGAAAGAGTAGAGAGACCTCAGTACATTTGAAGCATGGACATATGACAGAGGGCAATCCATACACAAGCCTGTGTACGTCGTACGCCGCCGCACGCAATGTAAATCTACAACATCGCCATCTCGTCTCGATGTCTGTATCGCAACATCTTTTGACCTCTGAACATCGCTCGGCAACCTATGTGGTTTACTAAGGCACGGTCTTCTAGGTTATCGCAGCACAAATGATCACCAAGACAGTTCTTCGCAAAGATGAAGCGTCGAGGAGATCGCAAATGCCGGCATGCAGTAGACCGTGACGATATCTGCAGGATCATGTGTTGGCTACCAGGCTCTCCAAACGAATCGACGGGCAAAGATATATACGATACACAACCTATATTACTCGAAGTGCGGACAGAGTATCTCAACCAGCACATGGAGTTGGGCCAAGAGACTGAAGATCTTCGACACAGTGTTGATGGTAGGTATACGTTGAAGGAGTAAGTACACTGGAGATATTCTCTTCACCCCTGTCGTTGTCTAGCACTGCTAAAGGCGATAGTTCACCCACCTCCTGGTACCTTGCCTCCTCCAAATACCCAGAATGAGCGGACAGCAGAAAAGAAAAGATCCAGAGAAGAAAAAATAACTCTGCAAGAAAAGATGGAACTAGGAAAACTGGAGGAGCTGTAGTGCTCATGTTTGTTTTGTGACACTGTGTGAAGTAAAAATGATTTGTGCCTATGACAGTATGTCCCCGATCAGTTGTAGGACATTGTACTGGCAGTTCGTCTTGCAACGTCATTGATGGGAGAAATGTTTTAAATTGCTGTCCTTTCAGGCTCAGCTTCGCGAATTGGGTATATACTCAGGACTAAGATCACAAATTACTTACATGTATATCCCTCGTGTCCATCCTCAAAATATTCACATTCATTCCAAGACTCTACTCTCTCCGTTCCTCATGTCCTGGAACCTCACATCCGTAAACTCGCCCTCATCATCTGCCCTTGCTTCCTTCAACGCGTCTTCTACTGTCCAGACCTTTCTACGCAGGAACCAGCTTATGAAACCTCCGCCCTTCTTGACTTCATCGTGTGTTGCGACCCAGTATTTCGCTCGCAATATGCGCTGTGCAAGGACACCGTTCTTGGCACCGAGATTGAGTTGCTGAGCGGAAGATATGGATACGTCGTGGAGTCCATGGAGGAAAGCGAGTGTATGTAGCGGTGGATCGGCTTTGGCGATTGGGCTGAGGGCCTCGTGGGGGATGCCGTGTGGCGTGTAAATTACACACTCGGCTTCCTCGCCATTGATGTTGGATGAGAAGTCCTCTGCTCCATCGCCGTTTATACTGAGACTTGAGAGACGTTTCTTAGGCGTGGCTGTCGATAAGAAGGGATGTGTAGCGAAGGTAATGAGGAGCGCAGAGTGGTAGTAGAGAGAATCTCCAGACGCGGTAAGACGGGATATGCTGAGCCACGAAGGGAGAGGGGAGAGGCTGTAGTCGTGCCAGTCGGCGTTGTCGGTGAAGGTGGGTGTTGTTATCACTGTACGGAAGTGGTTCCAGGAGGATATTAGGTTGGCTGCTTGCTGTGGGGCTTATCAGCACAGCACTTCTCGAACGTTATAGCAGGAGATACATACCTCTGTCGCGAGAACAGGTACATCACGATGTACCTCTAGAAGCGTCTCTTTATGACAATGGTCTGTGAACTCATGGCTCACAGCCACACAATCCACATAGCTTTCCTCCTCTACCTCCTCTATGTTTCTCTTCCTCCCTTTCCTACCCATTCGCAGGCCTCCAGCTAATATCTCCACCTGTCGCGCCAGCTCCTCCACTTCGGCAACACTCTTAACAGCGCTCTCCGTCGCGTGGAATTGTTGGCTAAACCATTTCGCGACATCGCTTTGCCCGCCAACGAACCACGGGTCAATCAGAACGTTGTAGTATATGCGACTTCCATGTTTGACGGCGTTGGCTGGGCGTGGTATTTGGAGTAGCCAGGATGTATCGGCGTTTAGATGGTGGAGGATAGGCCTGCGCGTTGCAAGAGCGCGAACGACCGAGTCGCGAACTTCGAGATGGAGTTGTGAAGATGGCGCGTCCATCTTGAGACGAGTCTGGTGGTTCCCACGCTGACTTTGGCTGCGCTGTATACTTGCGCCAGGTATGCGCACTTCAGGGCGACATTTGGCGCGTCGAGGGCGAATATCGATGACAGATGCGACCAGAGCACGCTAGTGGAGGCTGGGGGAATGCGTCCATGACGCACGGACAGCAAGACCAGACCCACTGCTGGACAGATGCATCATCGTGACTTACAGCCTTGCCACGCCAGAACCAACTGCCATGGTAGTACAAATCCATCAATAATGCAACCTCTCTAGAGAACAGTAAACATTGTACGTTAGTGCAATACTACATAGCGATTGCCTAATCAAATAGACTGGGTCGCGGCGAAGAATTGCCTGTAAGCCAAGTATTCGTCAGCTTGGTCAACTTCGCCACAAGCTTCGCAGCATCCTACAGGATATGTCAAGTCATATTGTTTGGTCTGTGACGGTTCTAGCTGTACGAGCTGACTATTGACCGGTTCGCCTGACGTAGCATCTGACACCCAGCGTAACAACTGCAATTGGTCGCTACCACGCAACGCTCAACAACCAATGTTACACTTTACATGCATCATCGTTGCAATGACTATTATCGATGTATCCGGATATTGGACGCCTTTTATACGGGAAACAGGATAAGAACTGGACAATGGAAGAAAGTTGGTCAGACCTAGATTGCTTTATCCGGGACATATTGCCTGCGAAAAGGGTATCCTAGGAGCGTCTCACTATACTCTTTGGACATTCTTCTTCAACATTACTACGCCATTAAGTTTATTTTAGCTTCTAAAATCCTCCTATAGCCTCTAAACTACCCGATTATTACCCCTATCTATCATGAAGACTATCATCGCAGCTACACTGCTGTTCCACATCACGCCCGCCCTGTCTTCCGTCGTCTTTCTCCTCTCCAGCGAGCCAAATGGCCAAGGCCTATCCAAATCTTGGGTCGTAGATCGCTGGAAGTGCCAGAACCTTGGCGCTGACATTGACAAGCAAGCAAGTTGGGCTTTTGTCGCTTCTGGTCTTGCAAATGGTTGTTTCTTATACGAGTAAGTAGAACGTCTTCATCAATGCACTTTCTAGGAGCTAGATCGGCATTCCATTGACAGTGATGTAGGGATGTGAATTGTACCGGACGAAATCTGTACGTCGAGAAGAATAATTCCAACATTCTCGGTCCAGGACCTGTAAATCTCACGGATTACGACTTT